TGGGGCTTGGTGACCTCTACTGCTATTGAAAATGGATCTCTAGGCTTTAACTTTTGGCAAGCAAGAGACTTTAACCTCCAAGTTCCAACTTTAGACTTTAACCTTGAACTTTTAACTTCAGACTTTGAAAATTGTTGGGGCCTCCCCTCGTATTTCCAACAAACATCAAACAGTTTGAATCTTTTTGGCCGGGGGATCTACAGCAGCCAAGTGTGGGTGTGGCTCAAAACTAAAGAGATGGGGCTACGCCGGTTGTAGTTGTTGGTTCCATATACAAAGGCACCTTTCACTCGCCGGGCAGACCCTGCCTTGGCCCTGCCTTTTCCCGCAAGCGCTGCATCCAAAGGGGTTTTTCATGGGGCCCAATGAAGCACCTGGGCGCTTTTCTTCAAGCAACAAAGCCACCCCAGAAAATGGAAACATGTTAAAACCCGCGAAAGCTAGGTCCCCCAGCAATTGGTGCCCTTTCTCACCCTTTTTCGGGGGAGGGTTCCCCTACTACAATAGACTACACCAAAAAAAAGGTTGGCCCCCCTCCTCTCGACTGGAGGACCCAGAAAGCGCCCGCCCAAAAAATGAGACGCCCAGATCGCAGTGGTTTAAAACCAATGGTACGCATTTTGGGGTAGGTGAATTCACCACCCATTTTCGTCTATTTTAGTCAGATGTCTCCCGTTCCGAGGAGCAGCTCCTCCGGAATTTCACCGAGAGGCTCCTCAAGCGAGACGCCTTCCTCTGGGCGGCTCGACGGTGCTGGGCGGCGCCAGTCGCGAGTGATCCAGTCGATGCCACCAGTCCCTTTCTGCTTGACTGCTATTGGGTCGGATCTTTAGACTTTAACTTTTTGGTTGAAATAAATGTGCTTTCCACTAGAGGTCAAGAGCAACCAAGTCTGTGGGTCTGTGTTTTGGACGGAAACCTACCCTCCTGTCCACCAGCATGGAACCTAACTGAGGGGTCCTGGAAGACGAGTTTCCCTGTAAAGGGACCTTTTGGTGGGTTCCATGTTGGACAGGAGTGTAAATGGGTTGGAGTTGTTTTCCATCTTACACAGGTCTTCTACGCGCACCTCTTGATCTTGTACGCCTCTTGCCTGCGAAATGGTGAGACCACACATCTAGGGGTTGATTCCTTGTCCATTCCTTTCAGCCATCGTTCTTTTCAAAAACCGGATCCATTTCCCCAAGGTATTTTTGTGGTTTTCTAGAAAGTAGGATCCCTGGAAAGAATGGAGATGGAAGTCACCCCTAGAACACAGCGTCTTTCGAGTCGTGTTGGGTCGGGCAGAGGGGTCTGCTGCATACCCAGCACTGCGCAACCGAATCGGTTCTCCATGTGGTTGGCGATGAGCGGATGTCTTGGGGCAACCTTGGCTTTGGAAGTTGGCCAACGCCTTCCAGACGTACCTTTGCAATGTCAGCTCCCAACAACTTGTGTTTCCGATGTTCAAAGCAAGTCTTGAAATCGCAAATCGCCAGATGGGTTTGGGGCAAAATTAAACCACCAGGGGACCACAGGTCTTGGTCATTGTTTCCATTTCCCCAGGGCAACCTATTTTGGGTACCTATTTTTGACCCACAGCCAGATGGTCGTGAGTCGAGTTTGGCTTGTAGTCGTGTCCCAGCATGAGCTGCACCCCAGGCCATAGCTGCCAGCTGCTACGCGCAGACCAGCAGCGACGTCGAGTCCAAGGCTTTGCGGGGAGTCATGAAGCAAGGCCGGGCCCCGTGGAACGCCTACGCGGTCGCTTGCCAAGACTCACTTCCTGGGTTCCTGGACTGCAAACTTTTTGGGAGGGCATGTTGGTGGTAAACAAAAAGTATGGACTTTCTTTGTTTTTTAACAGAGCTGACATCCCCACCGCTTTGTTGGAATCTGCCACTTCACTTGGACCCGGCGAGTCCATATGTTTGTTCAATCGCTTGTTGTTTGGGGTTTGGGATGCTGTTCCCTTGACTTCAGGGGGTTGCCGCAAAATCAGCAAGAACAATTGAACCAGAAAGGGGTCTCCGGGCTGAGCCCCTCCAAACACGGGTCCCGAAAATGTTCCAAGAGAACAAGTTCAGACGGGGCAAGCAGGGAACTCTGCCCTGTTGTTGCCTAGCTCCCGCAGTAGTGCCCTTTCTCACCACTTTTTTTGGGGAGGGTTCCCCTACTAAAATAGACTACATACAAAAGTTGGCACCCTTATTCTAACCTCTCCACTGGAGGACCTAGTTGCTGAATCATATCAATTGGGTATTGTTTCTTCAGCCCAAGCTGAGCTGAGCCCCACAAGAAGCTCGCCAAAGGGCGCCAAACGTGGGGCTTCTCACTGCCCTAAAGACCCCAAAAGAGGAAATATGTGTATACACATATACATATATATACACATTTACATATTTATATTCTTATGTATATATATATATACATATATATATATAACGTATACGCAAATGTATACATGAGTGTGGTTCGTTCGAGTGTGGTTCGTTCGAGTGTGGTTCGTTTGTTTGTGGTCGATAATATGGAAGGCAAGGCACAAGTCCTATTGTTGTCAAGGGCCTCAGACGGGGGCTCAATCCCAACAGTATCCGAATAGGGGCTCATGGCAACTAATAAGGCTAATAGTGGGCCTTTTTTTTTTGGGGGGGGGGGGGGGGGGGTTGGGGGGCCCTGACCACCAAGGGCGAATGGGGGGCTTACCTGATTTCCCCCTGCATGTGTTGATTTACCCCCCATTTCTGGCTGGCCTAGATTGGTGGTTTGGAGTGGGGTTTCAACCCCTTCCTCATAAATTGAGAAACACCCCCAACGGGCTCCAAACCAAAACACTAGAGGGAAGATGACAAAGTGCAGACTTGCTTGGGCCGAGCTATATGGAAACTTTCATGGGCCTGTCCCATGTTCTGAATGAGAGCAAGGCACAATGCGGGTATGCGGGTGGGCGGGGTTCAGACGCTTGCTGCTGTTCAAAGCCATGGCGTGTGTATTTCTTGCCGCCAAACAAAACACAGCGACGTTTGCAGCGCTTAAAGTAGCACTAGCTTTATCGAACTCGCTTTCATCATGTTTTCTTGGGATGCAAGCACCTGAAAATTACAAAGAGTTTGCAGGTAGTGTATGACGTGTTGCATTTCCCGAGCGCGCCAGATTGACCTTGGGTGAGCTATGCCTGAGTGCGCCGGAAAGGTCCAAAGTGGCCGCTAGCAATGAAGGTCTAGTTGGGGATGCCTGGCTGTCCCTTTCCAACCAGCCAGAATTTGTGTGCGATGTATCATCTGTGAGCAAGGGGCCAAACCAAGTAGCAAGGCACTAGGGTTTCTGGTCGTATGTGAGTCCGTTTTAGCAATGGCTGAGGGCTGGCTTGCTTGCCGCCTGAGTCCTGCAGCGTACCCTGCATGTCACAGATCTCGGAAAATGGGCCATGTGCTTGGCTCATGGGTGCGGCGGCTGTTCCGAGCCCGTTTCTCCGGATTCAGTGGACCATTCGGTTTCCTTTGACCCCCCTGCAAAAAGTGAACCACTTTTTGGGGGTTAGTGGAAAACACCTCTATTTCAACCAAAAAGCTAAAGTCTAAAGATCCGACCCAATAGCAGTCAAGGTTCTTGGAACCCTAAGATCAAAAGGGGAAGGCTACAGTTTGCCAGGTGTAGCTGAGGATTCGACCGAGAGCCAGGCTGTCGGCTCGTTGCATATTGCATGCAGCATGTCTACCAAAGTCTGCTTGCGATGTTTGCCTAGCGGATCGAAAGCTGGGCCATCAATCTAAGGGTTTTTGCACTACACCCTGGGAATACACCCACTGGGTATTGACCCCATTTAGGCACATTGCGGGATAAAAAAAAAAAACGTGTTATTTTGAGCCATCGGGTCATTTGCCAAGGGTGTAATCCCAGGGTGTAATACACAAATCCTCAGAATCAATTGTTTTTTCTCCAAGAAGCGCTTCGATTTACAAGAATGGTGGCCAAGAGCTGAGTGTCAAGATGGACACAGGGCCCTTCACATCTCTCAGCAGCCCGAAGGGAGCGAGTTTCGTCCATTAGTTTAATGCGTAGAACGAAACCTTGGTGGTTTCAAAGGGAATCTATACTTTTGGAATGCAGGGAGAAACAGGGGGGGGGGGTGAAAACGCTTGACTGAAGCAGATGGAGGTGTTGCTTCAAGCCAAGTTGGGTGGGTTGGGTTTCTTTTCACCGTTTAGCCATAGTCCCAATATCCTTCGATGATATGCTGAACAAGTGCAAGGATCGAATCCTAGCCGATCAAATCAGGGATGCACTTGCTTGGCAACCTGCTTTACACAGGAAAGGAAACAGGACCTTTCCATCAACCCCAGTATGCATGGACCAAAACACCACCTAAGAAACCCTGAAATGATTCGATTCCCCAACGTAAATGCCAACCAAATCCATGGTTTCAACCATGGTTTCAACCACGGTTTCAACGTGTTTCAACGTGGTGCGAACGGATGTCGTCGCAGTATGGTTCCAGGAGACGGATGCATCCACGCAAGCTCGGGGATTTTGAGCAACCAGCAGGTGCTCTTTCATCCAGCAGGTTGGCGTTCTTCTCACTTGGGATTGTCTCAACATACGGGAAGGAACCCCCTAGAATGGGTGGTTTACTTTGGTTTCCCTTCAAATCCATCCAAAAAGGGTCTCCTTTCTTGATACAGACCCAGTTTTGCTTCACTGAAGCCAGTGTTTGTGTGCGGTACATGGAATGGACCGTGGCTGAAGCTGTTTATCATGTCCAGGTGCAGTGTGCAGTGCACATGCCAACATCCACAAACATGGGAGCAGCTGAAGCGGGTGCTGCCAGAGAAACTTCCCTGCTAGAGGCTATCAACCTACCAGTTGGGGCGATTCCCTGAGGAGGAAATGCCTAGCATTGCTCTCAGAAAGTGAAACTGGTTTTGTCATTCATACCAAGCCTGTGTTTTGTTCGGCACGCCCCTTGTTGTATTTTGTCTTGGCATGACACCAAGGTACAAGCTTCCATGCGCTCGGCATTCCCATTCCAAGCCCCAGGCAACTGCAAGGTCTGCCAGCTAGGTGCCCTTTCTGTAGCATTCTCTGTGTCTTTCTTTGTAGGGAGGTTGCCCAGTTTCTTATTGATGTGCGCTTGCTTCTTGGATCTCCTTGGTGGGTTGAGTGAGGAGGCATGTCAAAGCAACGGCCAAAAGAAGTTGTAGCTAGGGCAGGACCAAAGCAATGGCACGGGCTATTCCACAGCTAATTAAGCTCCAATCTACATACATGCATTGGAGAGGATTCCCCTACTAAGATAGACCACAGGAAAAAAAGGTTGGTACCCTTATTCTAACCTCTCCACTGGAAGACCTAGTTCCCCTCTTCGGGGGTTTCAACTCATGCCATGTCCTGCGTCGATGCGCTGCGCAGCACCTGGGACACTCGGCTCCCACCGGCATCCATCCGTGGAAATGCTTCTCCTTCCAGGGGAAGAACACATGGCTGTGGGTCAAAAAGATGTACCACAATGGCACCCTGGTAAATGGAACCAAAGACTAAAACCTGCGTAACCCTTAATTGTGACCCACACCTACATCTCCCTGCAAGACCCAGAACACGCCTGCCAACACCAATCGAGTTGGGTGCCCGTGGTTTACATGGACCCCAAAAGCCATCACTGGCTGAAGAAACCGTCGGGGAATGATTTGAACGACTCCCTTCAGTTCTCCTGCGAATTGTGCGGGCCAACAAATTGGCTAGGTCCCCAGTAGTGCCCTTTTATCCTTTTTGTGGGGAGGGTTCCCATACTAAAATAGACTACAGAAAAAAGTTGGTACCCTAATTCGAACCTCTCTACTGGAGGACCTAGTTGGGTTAGTAGAGAGTTGGGGTCAGGACAAGGGCCAGAGGTACCCGTGTGCCCCATGTTTTTGTTTGCCGCATGTGACTGTCTCGGGAGACCTCATCGGTGGGGGTCTGGGCCTCGTTTGGTTCTCCACTTTTGTGACGCAGCCGCCCCGTTTCCAACATAAACACTGGACGAGTTGGTGAAAGTGTGAAGGACTGCGGGAGTCGCTGTGTAGGATGTCACGGAAAAAGCTAAACTGAGGCGGGGGGGGGGGGGATGCTGGTGCAGTGGGCATTGCGTTTGAACACATTGGGAACCTATGCATTGGATTGGTGTCCCCTCGGATTCATACCCCAGCTTAATGAATAGGGGGCGTCCCCAGTTTAATGGAGATTCATCACTATTGAATCGCCATTGGAGAGGAACATCCCCTATCAATACTGTGGATGGACGAAATCCTGCACCACCTAAGAAACCCTGGAATGATGATTCCCTGGTAAATACCAACAAACAATGGTTTCCGCATGGCTTCAAAGTGGTGCAGGAATTTGTCCATCCACAGTATGACGGCAGTATGAATCCGGGGTCAACATTCGGGGGATTTAAGTCAATCACTTGGCGGAGCCCAAGTAGGGGTGAAGAGCCATGACGTAATACTAAGAGCACGCACCTCCGCCACCAGAGTTTGAAGTTTCTAGAGGATCCTGGTTCTGTGTGGTTGCCCGCTCTTCTGAAAAGAATTGCCCCCGCCCCCTCCCCTCCCCCCGCCAAAAAACAACAAAACAAAAGCACAGATGGCTTCCCAAGAAACAAAACAAAACAGATGGCTTCTTCCCGACCCCGCCCCCCCCCCCCCCCCCAGGGGCGCCTTATCGCTGCCTTCCAGCGCCGGGCCTCGGGTCGTCGTCGGTGCTCAGGACGCGGAGCGCGCGGAGCTGCAGCGCTCGGAGCGGGTGCTCTCGTCGCTGCGCCTGGCGCGGAAGTCTTTGGAGCAGCGCCAGGATCGAGGGATCGGTTGGGAGGCGGAGGGGGTGGGAGGGGTTGGTTGGGAGGGGTTGGTTGGGAGGGAAGGAGGTGGAAGGGGTGGGGTTGGGGTTGGAAGGGTTGGTTGGAGGGGGTTGGCAGGGGAGTTGGTTGGGGTTGGTTGCCGTTGTTTTTTTTAAGGATGCCTCTGTTTTGGGGGGTGCTTTTCAAGGGCGGCCAAGCGGAAGCCGTTTTTTTTTGGTGGGGGGAGAAGTGATAGCTTGGCGTTCTGGGTTGCCGACCGCCGGCCCGCTTCCAGGAAGACGGATGGACGTCAAACTAGTGGTTCACGGTTACACTCGGCGGCTGTTGGCTGTTGGCTTCAAAGCATTTACGTGGAACATCGTGGAACGCAACGACCAGCTGTTTCTTCGGGTTGAGGTTTGAAAGTCAGAGGAGGGATCATCAAAGTCTGTTGTCCGACTTCTTGTGCTTCTTGCTTCGGCTTGCTTGTTTAAGTGAGGCCAGGCGGCTAGACACACAATACGATGACATGGAATGATTTGCCCCACAGCAACCAGCCACGCAAGTGCACTCTGACTGGTGACGCATGCTCGGATCCAGCTTTCGCTTAAATGTTTTGTTGGTGGCATGCCTTTCTGCCGCTATGTTGCAGTGGTGCGATTTTACTTTGTCGATCGGTGCCTCTTCCAAGAGACGAGTTTTCCAGAATCGACTTGACAAAATCTTAGCGAGGGTGCTTGCGGGGCAATGGTTGAACGGGAATGCACACAACTGCATCTGTGATTGGCCATCAGATCTGAAGCTGGGCCACCCTGTTGACTTGCGGCAGGATGAGCTTACTGCCGAATGCGCGCGCTTGCACGATGAGGCCTGCTTCGTCAGCATGAACAGGTTCTAGGTCCCCCAGTAGTGCCCTTTTACCCTTTCTTGGGGAGGGTTCCCCTACTAAAAAAGACTACAGAAACAAGGGTACCCTTATTCCAACCTCTCTGCTGGAGGACCTAGGTTTAAGAAATACAGGCTTGCTACCCACGTGATACCTAAGACCCTCCCAGTAGCATACGTTGCCACAGCCCCTCCAAGGCTTTCGGGTATCAAGCCATGCTGATTGCTCGTGGAAATGTACTTGCTTACCCCTTGCCCAGTGTGATGAAGGACAATCTTGTCAAGTCGCTCAGTGCTTGTGAGACATGACTTTGAATGCAAACATGCGAGCAGATTCATTTAGGCCGTTGTTTGCGCATCACTGCATCGCCTTTGTATCAATATACCCCGCGGTTCACGGGGTAGTCAAACAGTAACTATGGCTTACTTGGGGCAAAGCAGGGTGGTTCAAGTGCGGCATACAAATATATACGTGCACGAAGAAATGCAGATTGAGAGCCATATATGCCGATATGTGTAAGTAAGCATGTTTCACCCATACACGTGTATGTTCATTTACATGTTGCAAGCTTCAGTGTTACATATGTATTGCTGCTACCGGTGAATATAGAAGTATTACACACATGCAGATGTGCCCTGGTAGAATTGTAAAACAGGGTGCTTGTCTCAAAACGGGGGGACGAACGGGTTCTTTCTGGTGTCCCTTTAGCCCCTCCCAAAACGGAGTGCCCTCAAAAAGGGAAGCCCCAGGGTTACTATTCCGCATATGGCCTGATTAAGTTTATGTTGGGGCCATTGGCTAGCGGTTGGGTGGTACATGCATGTGTTTTGTATGCCTGCAGTTGGCTGAAAGATGGCATTCTCTCATTTTGGTTTAGTCCTCCCCTTTACCCCTTTTGGAATGCCATTTTTCACTCTGTGGTCCTCTGAACCTTTTCGCTTGAACCATTTCAGCAGTAAACAAGTTTAGTTGTTGTGTTTGGGCCATCCACTCATGAAGTGAGGAGGCCCCCAGGAAGCTCATCTTCCTGCGCTAGGTGTCCAGCGACCCGCGGGTGGCTTTGCGCATGGCCCTGGAAGGCGATGTTGAGGCACGCCCTAAAAGCCCCAACCTCGAGAACCACACGTTTTGGTCATACTGACCAGTGACTCCATGTGAAGAAACCAATAAAATAATTCTACAACTGGGCCTAACTGTAGTCATACTGTGGGTGGTTGCGAAATCCTCTTAGGCACCACTTTGAAACCATGGTTGAAACCATTGTTTCTTGGTATTTACAGGGCAACCATCATCCCAGGGTTTCTTACTGCACCACCCATGCAACGATGAAATGAGAAGATTCCCCAACGGAAGCAGCAGCAAACAATGGTTTCAACCATCGTTAGAAAGTGGTGCGAAATGGATTTCGCAACCACGCACAGTAAGTTCGGTTCCCTGGCTTGAAACGGTGGACATTTGGGGGAATCATGTACGCTGAGCACTTTTGAGGTTCCCATTAACACATTCCTAGCCATAGGGGTTATAGCATGTTGTAAACCTGCTTAGCCATTTGGAACCAACAGTCGATGGGTGTTGGGCGCGCTCTTAGAAAATACGGTTGCCTGAAAGTAGATGGCGCAATTTTTCATTTTGGTGTCATTCCCCCCCCCCCCCGCCGCCAGAAAGCGACTTAATTGTGCCATCGACTTTCCTTCACCCAGGCGGGTTTGGGGCGGGACGCGATTCCAAGACTTGCAACAAGATTGTGGGACAAATTGGCTGCAGGTTGTACAAACCTGCCATACCATCGACAAATCGGTGATGTTGCACAGACAGTTGTCAAGAAGCCTGCGAACAACTTTTGCAAGATCAGTGTATGTATTTGTACGGTGGCACGTTTCCGGTGCGTTCCATTCACCCCAAAATGGTGCACTTGTCATCCCCCAAGTGTTCGGCAGTTTGGCAACCAGGCCGTACATGAAGCTTATGACTACACATGTTGACACACAGACACACACACACACACACGTGGGCTGCGGCAAATGCTGCACAAGCAAGTTTCGCATGAACATCATGAACAGCCGAATCAGGGAGGCATTCGAATTGGAAAACGGCAGCTACAACATCCTTCGACTCTGGAACTCGATGAATTGAACTGGATGCAAAATCACAGGTATCTAGGATTTGTGAAGATCACGTTCGAGTGTAAGTCCCGTTTTAGTGGGGACTTTTGGTCTGTTGAATTCTTGGCCGCGCCATCGGTTTGAATCAGCTGTTATCATTGCTTCATTTTGCTTTGGCAAAATGAGGTTGGCCACGCCACAGCCACACAAGCAACTTGGCGATTGGTTGAATCTCGGACTTTCAACTTTGGGGGCAACAGGCTATATGTCCCATTGGAGCCACAAAAAGTGAACCACTTTCTTTTTGCAGAGGGGTCAGCAGCCAAGCAAGCAAATGAAGCTGTCGAAGCAGCACCGGATCCCCGCCCCATTCAAAATGGTTCAAAGGGGGGGAGGGGGGTGAAATCTGGAGATCTCCATTTCTGGTTTCCATTTGCTTCCATTTTCCCTTTTGTGGGGAAGACTGAAACAATGGAATTGGGTCCCGGACCCCCCACCCTCCCCCTTAAGCTCGGGGGTATACCCATGGTTGTTGTTGGGAAACATTTGAATCCATTTTTGCTTATTGTGGCTTAGTGGTTGAACTCCAACCACTTAAATGCTGAAAGTAAATCATAAAAAACAAATCCGAGAAGAAAAAACTAAAACAAAATCACGCACCCAATTTTAATCTCTGCTCCCCTTACCTCAACCACCGGCTCCTCTTCCGATTCCGCTGGCAGGCGCTGCAGACAGAGCTGGAGGCCTTCGGGCCCCGTAAGGCCCAGATGGTGCGGGAGCAGCGCGCGCAGATGCAGGCGCGATGGCTCGCCGCGATGGGCCGCGATGGCCCGCGCGTGGGTCAGCGGTTGTTTTTCAAGCTTGTCTTCCATTGCTGTTTTTTGTTAATTGGATTTTCCCTCGTTGGTTTTAAAGGACATCTATCACCAGGGGGCTTAAGCAAATGGAAGGCGCGCGCGCGGCACGCGCGTGGGCACCTGAGCCACGTCCTCAAAAACCCGGGTAGATGAAGGTTAGTAGGGGACAATCCCCTTGCCATAAGCTGCGAATATCCGCCTTCTTAATTCTCGAAGCATGGTTCTGGGTAGACCATGTGAATACCGGGTTTTGATTATGACTCACCTGCCTTTTGTCCATAGTTAGCTTTGTTTTTTTTTCAAGTTTGTTGAGAAGCAAATGATCATCTAGGGCCATCTGGATTCCCAGGCACACATGCTTCTGCCTTTTTTGCCTAAGTGACTGAAGGGATGGACAAATGGCTTCCACACTCCGAAAATGAGAATACTTTGTGAATGTTTTCGTGAATGGGATTGGGACGGGCCAGCTAGCGATCTACTTTGAAGAGGCTGGATTAGTGGAGCATTTCCCAGAGTGCACGAAGGCGAGCTGAGTTGATTTGCTTCGTTTCTTCGGCTACGAGCGAGTGTTCAGTGCAGGTTCAGCTAAACATTTGGAATGAGCGGCAGTTGGACGAAGTTCTGAACAGGGATTGTCTCAAAGCGAATCGACTATTAGTTTTTCCCTTTTTGGTCCATGTCCATGTTTAGTCATGGTTATCCTTTTATTTATGAGGCCTTTGGGCAAGTGAGTGCGTTTGCCGTGGTTTCCTGACGCGGGAGCCGCAGCGGGGGCATATTGCATCGATCAAGCATTCTGTGCGAGCTGACATCTGCTTTTCCCCCTCTTCTTCTTTTTTGGGGGCAGGGGGGTTATCTGGTTGCGTCCGCAGGCAGTGTGACCCTACCATCCAGGGCTCGATTCCAGTCTACCAGAGGGCAGTTTGCAAGCGATGGCCTGGCCCTTGTGAAAAAGTGTCCACAGGTCTTAGGACGAGTTTGCTACCCAGTACTCGTTTTGCAGGTCGGTGGTTATTGGATGGTATCGGTTTTGGGTCGTCGTTTCCTATCGGGTTTTGGTGGCATTCTCGGACATTCCTCTTTTTTGCAGTTGTGGGGTGGCACCCTTTGCCCTCTCTTGGTTTCGCACGTTCCACCAAACATGGCCAACCTCAAACACATTTGCCCCTTACTCGTGGCCAATGGGATCTGAAGCCAGCCGCTGCGTGCCACTCGACACTGGGTGGCACAACTTTTCCAGCTTGGTTTAGCAACTCGGTCCCCCAGCTAGGTGCCCTTTTCTCAACCCTTTTTTGGATGGGAGGGTGCCCCTACTAAAATAGACAAGACTGAAAAAAATCGGGTACCCTTGTTCTAACCTCTCCGCTGGAGGAGCTAGTGTTGGTACCCCTGATTAGGCCATAAAAGTCCTGTAACCCGTTGGTTTCCCTGATTTGGCCCATCTAGGTGTCCCAGTAGTGCCCTCTTACCCGTTTTGGGGCAGGGTTCCCCTACAAAAACAGAGTCGGGTACCCTTATCTCTACTGGAGGACCTAGCCATAAAATGTCCCAAGCCGATCTGTTTTATGTCCGGCTGCAGGATTCTAGTTGCCTCTTGCATAAAAATCGACCTTGTATCCTGTTGGTTTCCCTGCTTTGGGCCATACAATGTCCTCAAAATCGACCTTGTAACCCGTTGCTTTCCCTATATGTCCCTGCTTTGGGGCCATAAAGTATGTCCCAAAACGGCGATCCGTTTTATTTCTTTGGGTCCTTCCAGTGGCCAAAGGCACCTGCCCCCCCCCCCTCCAATTTCCCGTGAGGCGCAGGAGGCGGCCAAGTGCCGCGAGAGGAAGCTGCAGCAGGCGGCCAAGGAGCTGCAGGCGACTCACTCCGGCGAGAAGTTCGTCGATTCGTCGAGTCGAGGTCCCGACGTCTGGGAATTCACGAGGTCCGGAAACCTAGGTGCCCTTTTTAACACCTTTTTTGGTTGGGTTTGGGTTCCCCGACGAAAATAGATACTGGAGGACCTAGTGTAGTTGTATCCAACGTTGGGATTGATCTGTGGGGCATAGAAGGCGGTTTCTGTTTTTTTGAAGTTGGTACCCTGTTGTTTCTCGTTGTTGCTTGCCGGTTTTTAGGGGTTATCAAAGTGAGAAATTGGGAGGTGGTTCCCTTGAAGCTACCACTTGGGGAGTGACTTTGACAATGGTGAAACAGTGGGGCCAGCGTTACATCCAACGTTGGGATTGGAGCATTTGAGTGGAAAGAGTTTGGTGAAGGGAGCATAGTGGCGCATAAAAAGATCGGTTCAGGAAGTGTGTTGCTGTGGGGCATAGAAGGCGATGTTGCTTTTGGAGTTGGACCCTGTTCAGTTTCTCGTTTCTGTTTCTGGCTACGCCAAAAGTAGAACCGAAGACATTTTGGGGGGTGTTCCCCTAAAAAGAGACACCTGTACAGAAAGTCCTTTGGTCACCTCTTGTGTGAGCCGTTTATTTACACGCTGACGCGACACAGCCGGCCACCGGGCACCTTGCCCTGCTCGTTCTGTCACTTCCCTTTCCTGTAAGTCCGATTAGTAGATGTTAAGATTTTCAGATTCTAAAAACTTTGAGATTCTAAGGGTCTCAGATTTGAAGACTGTCGGAATTTAAGGTTTCAATGGTTTAAGACTTAAGGTTTTAAGATTCAAAGATTTAAAGTTTTTGAAGGTTATAACAGCCAGGCCATTGCCCAGCCATTTTCCATCTATTATCAGATTTCGAAGGCTTTAAGATTTTATTTTTCGGAGATTTTCAGATTTGGCGACTTTCGGAATTTAAGATTTTAAGATCTCAAGATTTCAAGGCTTCAACGTTTCAAGATTAAGAGTTTAAGGAATTTAAAATATAGCCCGGATTGAAGGAATTTTATTATATTTGACTTGTTTATGAAGTTAAGATTTTCAGATTGCAATAGTTCGAGATTTAAAGAATTTAAGTTTTGAAAGCTTTTCAGATTCTGAGATTTTAAGACTTTGAGAATTTAGGAAGTTCATATTTTTAGATTTTAACATCTGAAGATTCAAAGATATTCGGGTTTTAAGAAGTCAAGATTCGAAGACTTTAGGATGTTTATATTTTCAGATTGTAAGATTCGATCTTCTAAGGTTGTAAGTTTAAGATCTTGAGGTTTCAAGATTTCCAAATTTCAAGAGTAAGAGTTTAAGACTGTAGGAATTTCATATTTTAAGAGTTTAAGATCGCAAGATTCTAAGACATAAGGGTTTTAAGATTTCAAGATTCGAAGACTTTAGGATGTTTTTATATTTTCAGATTTTAAGATTCTAAGTTCGAAGATTTTAAGATCTCGAGATTCTAAGATTGATTGTTAGATTTTAATTTAAGATTTTAAGAATCTAAGACTTTAGGATTTTGAGATTTCAATCCAGGCCATTTTCCATCCATTTTCCATCCACTTTAAGATTTTAAGATTTTCAGGTTGCACGTTTTCGGCAAAGTTGGCCCGACTTAGGGGACAACATCCCCAGCATCCCCCGAGACTTTAGGATGTTTTTATATTTTCAGATTTTAAGCTTTAGGATTTTGAGATTTCAATCCAGGCCATTTTCCATCCATTTTCCATCCACTTTAAGATTTTAAGATTTTCAGGTTGCACGTTTTCGGCAAAGTTGGCCCAACTTAGGGGACAACATCCCCAGCATCCCCCGAGACTTTAGGATGTTTTTATATTGATTTTAAGATTCTAAGTTCGAAGATTTTAAGATCTCGAGATTCTAAGATTGATTGTTAGGTTTTAATTTAAGATTTTAAGAATCTAAGACTTTAGGATTTTGAAATTTCAATCCAAGCCATTTTCCATCCATTCTCCATCCACTTTAAGATTTTAAGATTTTCAGGTTGCACGTTTTCGGCAAAGTTGGCCCGACTTCGGCCCCAGCATCCCCCGCATCACCGGCATCATCCGCATCAATGTCCGCCAAGGATGCGGATGATGCAGGTGATGCCGGGGATGTTGTCCACTATGGGCACCCCCCAAAAAACACTCGTTTTTTGACTCCGCGGGGAGATGCTCACAAAGCCGCAAAAATCGCCTGAACAAATCCGCAAATCCTTCGCCCCTTATAAGGGTGGGCCCAGCTTGGCGCAGCGCAAAAGTTCGGCACATGGTCGGCGGTGGGTCGGCGGCATGGGGCGGCCTTATACCTGAAGGTAGGCCCTGCGGGCCTAGGCCTTCGGCGATGTCACGGACCACGGGGTCAGGGGCCCCCGGTGGCCGGATTTACACGCTGACGCGACACAGCCGGCCACCGGGCACCTTGCCCTGCCCGTTCTGTCACTTCCCTTTCCGGCAAGTCCGATGAGTAGATGTTAAGATTAAACAATTCTAAACACTTTGAGATTCTAAGGGTCTCAGATTTGAAGACTTTCGGAATTGAAGGTTTCAATGGTTTAAGAATTAAGGTTTTAAGATTCAAAGACTTAAGGTGCTTGAAGGTCATAACAGCCAGGCCATTGCCCAGCCATTTTCCATCCATTATCAGATTTCGAAGGCTTTAAGATTTTATTTTTGGCGAGATTTTCAGATTTGGCGACTTTCGGAATTTAAGATTTTAAGATCTCAAGATTTCAAGGCTTCAAAGTTTCAAGATTAAGAGTTTAAAGAATTTAAAATATAGCCCGGATTGAAGGAATTTTATTATATTTGACTTGTTTATGAAGTTAAGATTTTCAGATTGCAATAGTTCGAGATTTAAAGAATTTAAGTTTTGAAAGCTTTTCAGATTCTGAGATTTTAAGACTTTGAGAATTTAGGAAGTTCATATTTTTAGATTTTAACATCTGAAGATTCAACGACATGAGGGTTTTAAGAAGTCAAGATTCGAAGACTTGAGGATGTTTATATTTTCAGATTGCAAGATTCTATCTTCTAAGGCTGTAATTTTAAGATCTTAAGGTTTCAAGATTTCAAAAATTCAAGATTAAGAGTTTAAGGAAGTTAAAATATAGCCCGGATTGAAGGAAGGTAATATTTTAACAATTTAAGATTTTCAGATTTCAATTGTTCGAGGTTTAAAGAATTTAAGTTGTTAAAGCTTTTTAAGATTCTGAGATTTTAAGATTGTAAGACTTTAGGAATTTCATATTTTAAGAGTTTAAGATCTCAAGATTCTAAGACATAAGGTTTTTAAGGTTTCAAGATTCGAAGACTTTAGGATTTTTTATATTTTCAGATTTTAAGATTCTAAGTTCTAAGATTTTAAGATCTTGAGATTCTAAGATTGATTGTTAGATTTTAATTTAAGATTTTAAGAATCTAAGACTTTAGGATTTTGAGATTTCAATGCAGGCCATGTTCCATCCATTTTCCACCCACTTAAGATTTTAAGATTTTCAGGTTGCACGTTTTCGGCAAAATTGGCCCGACTTAGGGGACAACATCCCCAGCATCACCCGCATCGCCAGCATGCATAACATCATCCGCATCATCCAGGATGATGCTGGCAATGCTGGGGGTGTTGTCCAGTATTAGGCACCCCCTAAAAATGCTCGTTTTTGGACTCGGTTTTGGGCGCTGCGGGGAGATGCTACAAAAATCCTCGGAAATCGCCTAAACCAATCTGCAAATCCTTCGCCCCTTATAAGGGAGGGCCCAGCATAACACGTATGCGCATGTTCTGCGCATGGTCGGCGGCATGGGGCGCGCGGCCTTATACCTGAAGGTAAGCCCTAACGGGCTTTGGCCAACGGCCCGATCACGTCCGGTGGCCGGATTTAAGGGCTGCCGCCGCCGACCCCTGGATTTAGTTGTGGTTTTGGAGCCCCTCTTGTGTGAGCCGTTTATTTACACGCTGACGCGACACAGCCGGCCACCGGGCATCTTGCCCTGCCCGTTCTGTCACTTCCCTTTCCTGTAAGTCCGATTAGTAGATGTTAAGATTTTCAGATTCTAAAAACTTTGAGATTCTAAGGGTCTCAGATTTGAAGACTGTCGGAATTTAAGGTTTCAATGGTTTAAGAATTAAGGTTTTAAGATTCAATTATTTAAGGTTTTTGAAGGTTATAACAGCCAGGCCATTGCCCAGCCATTTTCCATCCATTATCAGATTTCGAAGGCTTTAAGATTTTATTTTTGTGAGATTTTCAGATTTGGCGACTTTCGTAATTTAAGATTTTAAGACCTTAAGATGTCAAGACTTCAAAATTTCAAGATGAAGAGTTTAAGGAATTTAAAATATAGCCCGGATTGAAGGAATTTTATTATATTTTACTTGTTTATGAATTTAAGATTTTCCGATTGCAATAGTTCGAGATTGAATGAATTTAAGTTTTTGAAACTTTTAAGATTCTGAGATTTTAAGATTTTGAGAATTTAGGAATTTCATATTTTAAGATTTTAACATCTGAAGATTCAACGACATGAGGGTTTTAAGAAGTCAAGATTCGACGACTTTAGGATGTTTATATTTTCAGGTTGTAAGATTCTAACTTCTAAGGTTGTAATCTTAAGATCTTAAGGTTTCAAGATTTCAAAAATTCAAGATTAAGAGTTTAAGGAATTTAAAAGATAGCCCGGATTGAAGGAAGGTAATATTTTAATAATTTAAGATTTTCAGATTTCAATTGTTCGAGGTTTAAAGAATTTAAGTTTTGAAAGCCTTTTTAAGATTCTGAGATTTTAAGATTGTAAGACTTTAGGAATTTCATATTTTAAGAGTTTAAGATCTCAAGATTCTAAGACAATAAGGTTTTTAAGGTTTCAAGATTCGAAGACTTTAGGATATTTTTATATTTTCAGATCTTAAAAATTCTAAGTTCTAAGATTTTAAGATCTTGAGATTCTAAGATTGATTGTTAGATTTTAATTTAAGATTTTAAGAATC